ATAGCACTACCAAAATCTTAAGTACCTCCTGGAATTCTCAGAAAGATGTGTTTACTTTTCACGGTACCATCTTTTTCCATCAAGCGGTCACGAAACGCATCATTCTCTCAAAAGTTGCTCAATTGTTTAATCCTCTTGGACTCCTCTCTCCAGTAGTGATCAAAGCGAAAATCCTCATGCAGCGACTCTGGTTGGAAAAGGTTGGTTGGGATGATCATCTCACTCCAGACATCGCTCACGAGTGGTCTAAGTTTAGGCAACATCTCTCTCAGCTATCAAACATAGAAACTCCCCGATGGATAAACCTCTCGTCAACGGCAACCTCAGTACAGATTCATGGCTTCTCAGACGCCTCTCAACTTGCGATTGCAGCAGTTGTATATATCAGGGTGTCGTATGCTGGCTCATCTTCAGTAGTCAGTTTGGTCTGTGCTAAGACGAAAGTAGCTCCTCTCAAGAGGTTGACAATTCCTAGACTTGAACTCTCAGCAGCGGCTCTGCTAGCCAAGCTAACCGGAAAAGTAATTAGACTTCTCGACCTCTTAACACCAGGGCATTTCATCAGAGGAGAGGGATTAACAACTATCCCGAAGCCTTCTCTAATAGACATTTCAGATTCCAGGTTGTCTCATTTCCAGCGGATTCAAGAGCGCTTCCAGCAATTTTGGAGAAGGTGGTCGACGGAAGGCCTGCAAGCGTATCAGACCACATCCAAATGGCAGACATCGCAGAACGATATCAGGGAAAAGTCTCTTGTCCTCATCACCGACGAGCGACTTCCGCCGTCGAAATGGCCTCTCGCCAGAGTGATACAATTACACTAAGGAAGGGACGGTCTCTGCCGGGTTGTCACGCTAAAGACCGCTATCAGCACTGTCGCTAGACCTATCGTCAAGCTCGCACCATTGCCTCTTCAACCGCAAACGGAAACATAATTTTCTCAGCAGCTCAGCACATCTCGTCATGTCAAATTCTCGATTCACGCTCGAGAATTGGGGGGGAGAATGTTCAAAAATTGCGCCACTCAGACTAGGTAGCAGCACCTCTCAGCTAGCATGATTAAGACGCCGTCTGTTATCGTCGAGAAGAAGACATATCGATTGTTTTTATTGATCAAGGGATCACGCTACTTGTCGTGTAAATAGATCATTGGTCCTGTGTGACGTCATCCTCTGCGTATTGGTCTCCTATTGGTTTTCTGTCTTCTCTTCCTAGCGTGGAACGCGCTAATTGGTGTATTGTCCTTTTTCCACCTCCTCTCTGTTCCTCAACTCGAACAAAATAGTGGCGTAATCCAGTCAAAATCGTTTAACAAGTTAATCTGTGCGGACGTACATTTAGAAATTTCAAAGAATTGTGCATCATCTCATAGTCTTCATCTCTCTTTATTCTCATCTCTCTACGTTTAATCTCATCTTACTCTTGTTCTTTCTCATCTAGGCCATCCTTGTGTTGTGTCTTTCTTACTGATCATCTCTTTATACTCTCTCTCCTTAACGACTTATCAGGTAATCTCTTAGCCTTTTATCTCTAATTCGTATCCTCTCTTTATACTTTCTGACCTCTCATTTTAGTATTGTTCGTTTTATTATTTCTATCTATTCTCATACTAAATTTATTACTACATTTTCTAACAGCATCTCGTACTACGTACTTCCGGTACACGTGGCGTGATATCCGGTAAACGTAGCGTAGTCTATCCATTACTATTTATTAAATCATACTATAATTTTGTTATCTCCATTTTGTGGTTCACAAAGTTTAATAAATCTTGTTACACACAAACTCTATCAATAATTAACATAATACAGTCAACTAGCCTATCTCGCCTATGTCCTATATTTCTTTTAGCGCATCTCTCTCAAAACTAGTAATTACTCGAACATAACACTTTTTATTTGTAAGTATACGACAAAAAACTTAAAAGAAAACGATTTAAGCTTTCGTTATATAGCACATCTTTAGATGTCTAATAGTTTTCAACTATTATTTAATCTAGAAAGCAGCACAAATTTTTCTCCAATATATTAAAAAATTTTTAGTGACGGTAAAATGTGCTATTACAAACAAGACAGAATGGATGTCAGGTTGACTACAATAGAGTATCGTCGAAAGAGAATTGAATTCTACAAGTAAGATAACCAAAAAAATTCGTAATAAAATGACTTTTTCTCTTTTTTTTTGACTGCAGTAGTCTACAAATAAATGATGTTTGCCAAATTTTTTCGGACTTACCACTTTTTATTTGTAAGTATACGCCTAAAAACTTACAAGAAGACGAATTAAGCTTTTGTTATATATCACATCTTTAGATATCTGATAGTTTTCAACTATTATTTAATCTAGAAAGGAGCGGAAATTTTTCCTAAATATATTGAAAAATATTTAGCGACGGTAAAATGTGCTATTAGAAAAAATACAGAATGAATGTGAGGTTGACTACAATTGAATTTTGTCGAAAAACAAGTGAATTCTTTATGTGAAGTAACCACAAAAAGTTGTAATTAAATGATTTTTTCTCTTTTCTTGGGCTATAGTTGTTAAAATGTAAATGATATTTGCTGGATTTTATTGGATATAACACTTTTTATTTGTTAATATACGCTTTAAAACTTGAATGAAAACGTTTCATCGCTTCTGTTAAATAGCACTTTTATAGAAATTTTATAGTTTTTAACAACGATTTAATCTAGAAAGTAGCAAAAATTTCTTTTTACATATAATAAAAAATTTTTAGCGACGGTTAAAATGTGCTATTAGAAACTAAACAGAATGGATGTCAGGTTGACCAAAATCGAATTTCGCCGAAAAAGAATTGAATTCTACACGTAAAGTTACCAAAAAAAGTTGTAATAAAATGATTTTTTCTCTTTTTTGGGACTGCAGTTGTTAAAATGTAAATGATTCTTGCTAAATTTTATTGGAAATAAAACTTTTTATTTTTTAGTATACGCTTTAAAACATGAAAGAAAACGTTTTATAGCTTTTGGTATATTGCACTGTTTTAGAAATTTTATAGTTTTTCACTACGATTTAATCTAGAAAGTAGCGAAAATTTTTTTCTAAACTTATTAAAACATTTTTAGCGGCGGTAAAAATGTGATATTACAAATAAAACAGAATAGATTTCAGGTTTACTACAATCGAGTTTTGTTGAAAAGGAATTGAATTCTTCACGTAAAGTATCTGAAAAAAGGTGTAATTAATTGATTTTTTCCCTTCTTTTGAACTGCTGCTGTTAAAATATTAATGTTATTTGCTAGATTTTATGGGACTTAACACTTTTTATTTGTTTGTATACGCTTTAAAACTTAAAAGAAAACGTTTTATACCTTT